AAACCAAACTGCAATTATCCTTTTAAGGAAAAATAAGACTTATTTTTCCTCTCTCAGTATTTACCTAAGTAGAAAAGCAGATGTTAGGAGAAGGGCTAATGGTACATTAAGGCCATAGAGTCCTTTAATCTAGCAAGGTCTATTATAAACTTTCACCAATAAACATATAGTGGTTCAAAATAGAGTCTATTTTAAAACATCATATACTCTAAAAATAGTTACATCCCAACAAGGTGACCACAACAGTTTCGAATTAGACTTTACTGTTTTCTAGAGACAGATAAGTCCATATAGTATGACTCTAATTTCGAACAAGTATGCCAAGCTAATAAATTGCAGACTTTAGATCTTAGCTTACTTATATATGAAACACCTTTTAACTAGAAGAATAAAGAACTGTCACTAAAAATTCTTGCCAGAAAAAAATAACTTGCTTTAGCTAACTGATATGTTTCATTTTGCTGCCTTTTTTAAAAAAAAAAAAAAAAAATGTCACACATGCAATTCACTCTAATATCATGTAACTGGCAACAAATTAGAAAATTAAACTTATCAGACATATGGAGCTGCAGCTTGAAAGTTTTCAGAAGCTGACAAGCTGGTAACAACCCAGATTGTAATTAAGAAGTACAGAAGTCTTGAATCAAGAGACATGGATATTTGCCTTGCTATTTAATTTAGCAGATTCATTAAAAATAATAAAAAAGAGAAAATTCAAAATCACACAATAAAACACTGGCAGGGCAATTTCATATCTCAGAAATAAAACACCACATTAAATCTGACGTGCCTAAAAAGAAACCAATGAAAATTTACATTTTTTGTCTTATTATTAACCTCTTTCTCCTAATATTTTCATTTAAAATGTTATCTAATTTCCATTCCTAAAAAGTACAGGGAATGCAAACATAGAAATCTCCAACTTTCATTGTTCACTAACTTTTTATGAAGTCTACCTTACTCTTTTCTTCCACCAACCTCATAATTTTTTGTATGGCAAGTGTATTTTCTAAAGATTTTTCAAACATTATCTGATTTTCATTCACTGCTATCCTTATCTTCCTTTCTTAGATTCTGAATTTTAAAATAATAATTGGATATTTGATACTGAATCTAAATATCCCAGTGAAAACCATGGATATTATAATTTGTTTATGGAAAGGGACATATAACCATACAGTGAATGATTTTTACTTCCATTAGATACTTTCTTCATGCTGAGCAGTGACTACATTTTGAACAAGTTTGTCACATTTAAATTAGTTCTCATCATACCTCTGACAACTATGAAAACAAAAATTTGTATTCATTGCTTCCATATGTTTCATGGTTGAAGGAAATAGAAGCTATTCAATACAACAGAAAACAAGTGTTGGAAACTATGTATTTCCTGAAGTCAACAGGATTCCTAAATTCAGCGGTCTGCTCTTTAGAAGCTATTTCTTCTTCAATATAAAGAAATTTCCAAGCTCAAATGTCTTGCCCTTGTAACAAGTTATGTGAAAGTAGAAAGCAAGTTGACTATATATATGCATGTATTTAATTTCTTTTTTCTGTTTAATGAACAACAGTGTAATTTAGAACTTATATCAAGTTGGACAGTAGGCAAGGAAATTTCTTTTGAAAAATGAAAATTAAAACATTTATGGAGGTTCAATGAAGCAAACCATTTCCATGAAAATGTACTGATTTTCATTAAAATGCTATTGTGAAGACAACTGCGAATGGCTTTCTACTTAAAAGTAATTGGTGGAGAAAAGTTGTAAGACATTTGCCAGGCACAATGCAGTAAGAGACCTATAGTTTTATTACTTCTTTTTTAATGAATCAATGAATATTTATTTTCACCTATGTAATTAACTATGACGCAAAATTATTCAAAGGTGAGATTTGAGTCATATATTAAAATTATTACACATTCAATTGCATAAGATACACCTACAAATCTATTTTTACAAGATTATTAGAAAAACTTTGTTTTGTTCTCCATTTCCCACCAATGTAGAACTATTGTTTCTTTGAGTATTTTTTATCTCAAAAAACGTTATGGTACAGCACTTGTATTTCTGGTCAGGCCTATATGTATAGAAATATATTATGATTAGTTGAATAAAGAGTATTATTTTTGGTTTTGACAGTTCTTGGCTATAATGTTGAAGAGACATACAATGGGATTAAAAGGAATTTCTTGTGCTTAATGTAGATATATTAGTAAATGCAAAAAGCAAGATGAAAAGCATATAATTTCAGCCATTACCCTCATTTTTCTTTACTTTGGGGATCCTTATATCTACTTATCCATTTAGCTTTGTTATTTGTACTCTATTAAAAGAGTTATGATGATTAGCATTCTAGAACTGGCAATTCAGTCAGTCAGTTATAAATCCCTATTAAATGAACTGATATATTATTAAACTACTTTGGTAATTCAGTGCTAAATATCCTGAAAGTAACTCAGTCTTTCTAATGATTTGGAAAACTGCGTTCATAATCATAGTATTATTTCACTGTTCAAAAGCCATTAGAGTTCTCTCAAATGCTGTCACTCCTCCCCTCCACTCCTCCCCTTCACTCAAGTTTTCTCCCACTAAGTGCTTTTCATACATCAGAGATGTTAATTTCCTAACAATTCCACAATTAATATGACTCATAATTTAAGTAAATATTTAAGACAGTAAGCTAAGGAAAATTCAATTCACTTGTTTCATGTTTCCCATTTTCGAAGACAAAAATTATTTTCTCTTTTGAAAGCTGAAACCCTCAAACTTTGGAAACTGCATTCATGAATATGTTATTGTGCTTGCATACAGAAACTTCTTAAGCTATTTATTTTTTACAGCTTTCAAATAATGGTAAATATTTACAATTGAACAATTCTCAGTATGCCAGTTAAGGTAGTACTACTACTTCCTATTCACAACAAGCTTCTGCAATGACACTTTGAGAGAGGATTCACAGAACAAGAATTTGAGAAACGTCACTTGCAACTCTTAAAGAAAGCACCCTGAAAAGCTTTCAAGAAAGGGCCTTGACATTCTTTTGAAAGAACAAGAACTTTTTAAAAAAGAAATGTGATTTTTCCATCCTGTTTTTAAAGAGGGTTTCCCCTCAAATCTTTTGCATAAGACAGGAGGAGTTTGTTAACAAACTCCCTCTTGCCCTACTTAATGTTTGCTCTCATCCCAGTCCATACTAATTTCCTGGAGCCTGAAGTAAAAAGTAATGCTTTCTGTCACCTCAGAGATGATGCGTCTGCTCTTTGCCTGTGCTCAGCACTTTCCTATCCTTTCTTCACACCCAAAGTCAGTGCTGTTCCTCTGTCACCCTCCTCAGGGTATCTTCTCTGCACTGTTGAAGTTTCTCCTGGCTATGCAACCCTGTAGAAGAATTTACCCCTTTTCTCTTATGCAGATTCCCCCTCAAGACAGGCAGTAAGGCACTCTTCTCCCACTCCCAGCTGGTCTTCCACACCCTCTAACAAAATACAGTAAGTCATACAGATGTGAGCTGACTCACACCTAAATGAAGTAACATGATGCCTATGAAAATATCATGCACTGTGAAGCTTATCTTATGTTAGGGTTATGTTAGGGTTATGTTTTCACTGGGTCAGAAAAAAATATTGTAATTTCACTGCCTAATATCTTAGAAATGGGCACAGATCTTTGTGGACCTTGTGATACGTATTAGTCTCAAGTGATATGTATTAGGCTCAAGTCTTCAAATACTATACTATAATGAGTAATTTCATTCACTCAAAAATATTTCAGTAAGTTTTAAAGAATAACAAGATTACTTTAAAATCAATGTTTTTTTCTATTTTTTATATTGTTTGCTATACTGCTTTTCACTCACAAAAAAAACCAAAATAAAACTGAAAATATGAAAGTAATCTAGAAATATTAAAAAATGATAAAAAGATTGAATTCTTTTAAAACATATCTGTTCAATTCTAATGCAATCTCATTCTAAACTAGATCAGATTAATGCTGCTCTGACAGCTTATATCTCTCCACTGACACATGAAGATTAAACTGCCTAGCTTGGATCTGGAAAACTACAATTTCAATGCCTAAATACAGAGAAACTACAGAACTAGCTCAAGAAGTGTAAGATGGGTATAACTACCTGAACTGTAGTGGTAAGAAAAACACAGTTAAATCTGTGAAATACAAAATGTTATTAGCTATTATAAAGAATAAAAAAATTAAGGGCATAACTGCTGAACAAGAGAAGCATATTCAATGAAATGTGCTCTATTTCTTCAAGAATAACTTCAGTATAGACCTTAAGGAACCGTTATTTCTCAGAAATGATAAATAATCTACTCTTTATTCAAGTTTAATTTCATGATCCAGACGTTTTTAATTTTGTCAAAGTATGAAGAATCAAGTGGCTACCAGTATGATTTAATTTCAGAATAAGTAGCATATTTTTCTGCACTGATTCTGAATAATTTTTAATATAAATACCATACCTGTTCTGTCAGATAAAACTAGAAAAATTTTAATTATTGTCAGACAAAATTCCTTATTTCTAGAACTCTTTGTCTTAATCTACTTAATAGATGACTAAAGGGAGATAATCCTTGATTAAAAAAACCCCATGACCCAACAAAACTTCCCTTGATATTGTTCCCATGCACTACAATGACAATTACAAAGCTTCCCTAAAGCTAAACTAAAAGACAAGGATTAAAAAGTATCCTAATGATTTACATTCACGGTTACTATTCTTACCTGTATGTGAACATGCATCTAAATAAGACATATACTGTTCTGACCCAGCAGACAGTGCATCCATCACAGAAGATTAATTCTCATAACTTCACTGAAGTTCATAGGAATCACCATTTCTAGGACTTCAAAAGGACCACTTAAGAGTAAAGTTCCATGGAAGTACAGAATAATTTCAAGCCAAAACCAAACAAGGTATTTTTACTTATAGAGGATATATAGGATTCACATGATTGTAATTTAGATATTCCAAAACTGTCTTACCATGGTGTAGTTGTGAGCCACCTTCATAAGCTCTGTGCATCCTTGTGCATCAGCAAATGCTCGTATTCCCAAACAGTTGGATGGGTGCAAAAGCTTCATTAGAAAATGGCAGCAAACCTCTACTACTTGAGGAAGCTGAAGGAGGCAGGCAGCTGCTAGAAGATTTTCAATGGTGTCTTCTTTCAATTCCAGGCAGCCTAAAAAAAAGGTTTGGCAGCACATGCAAACTTATTTACTTGGTATTTGCAAAACATGCAGTATGAAAAGATATTTTTAAAAATAATCATAGCTCTATACAAATAAAGCTACAGAAAAAGTGAAAAAAAGAAGGATTAGTCTCCCTGACTGAACACCTCAGGGACCTGAACATTACAGTATTAGAAACATATCTTTATAAATTACTATTAATTCAACTATATAATAGGCATACAAAGAGAGACTGTACAGTGTGGCATGGAAGAGAAGACTTCAGAATATCAACCAGGCTGTGGATTTTTTTTTTTGGTCATGTTTCTTATTTTTTTTTCACTGAAGTTGGTGATTAAACTTGTATTTTGTTCAATGGCACAGAACAAACCTCAAAATCATTTACTTCCCTGAAAAGAATGAAATAACTTCCTAGTATAGTATGAAATAAAGCCATAAATCACAGAATCTGCTGATTTTTAAGGGACCCCCAAGGATTATCATCATCACCCTTAGCCCTGCACAGGACCATCTCCAGGACTCCCATCACGTGCCCAAGAGTATCATTCAAATGCTTCTTGAATTCTGTCAGGCTTGGTGCTGTGACCACATATCTTCAAATACGGCTTACAATCTTCCAACTTGCTGTTGCTTATTTGTAATGTGACTTTGGGGTTAATTTTATCTGAGAAACATATGGCAGGCTTCTCATAGCATATTGCTCTTCTAAAATAATTTGTATTAGTGAAAAGTACATATATGTATGCCTAACACTTATGTTCCATTAAATCATACTTAATTCTGCAATGTTTCAAGTCAGTATCTTGCAGACTGATGCACTCTTTAACAAATAAAATGTAAAATAGAATAAAATAAACTTTTAAAATTTATTTTTTTTATTGAGAAATATGTAATTCTTGTTATAATGCTCCCTCCCAAACAAAATTTTTTTCATTAGTATCTCATAAATCTTTTGCATTAATAACGTAAGAAACCATAAATTAAAGATTACAAGGATGTCTTGTGGAACTGGAAAAAAAGTATAGGAAAATCAAAAAGTACAAATATAAATTGTAAAAATCACTTCTGATTTTATTTTTCTGTACTTGGAAAAATCATCTCAAACTATAAGAGGATTAAGTGTATATTGATCTTTCTTTTCAAAGTGATATAGTTCAACACTTAGATAAACTCCCTTTTTTCTCCCCACAAACTTTGTATGTGTTGTCATATAAAAAACAAAACCACCCAACACTTTAAATCTTAACAGTTCTATTGCATGGCACTAAGGAGTTCTAAAGCTGTCAACTTCACAACAGTATGCCATTGAAAAGATGCTTTATATTGCAATACCAAACCCAAAATACAGTAACATTAACATTACAATCTGATCTCTTCTACATTCACTATATCTGGAGCTTTTAATACATTATGGAAAGTGAAGTTATACTTTACTAGATGTTAGTTATAATACATCCTTTTGCAATCCTTTGCACTGGATCAAGTGCACAGCCTAATTTCAGTGGTTTTCCTCTGCTTATTTTTATGCTTCTAGTAACGTCACATGAATTTCCCTTCATGTTATCTGACGCTTTCTCAGAATTACTGTCCACCACATCTTTATGCAATGTGGTCAGAAAGCACACACAGCAGCAGATTCTTGGGTGACCTCCAATCAATTAATCAATGACACTCCCACATTTGCTACATGCTTTCAGGTAATGACTAGATCAACATACAATCTATTATCTTGGTCTCACTGTGCAGAGTGGAATATATCAGAAGATTGTTGTTTTCAGGTCAAAAATTACCAGAAAGAAGAAAATTAAAAATGTGCAAAACACCCGTGAAAAGCAGATGGACTGAGAAATGGAAACAAAATTTTAAAAAAAGGGAGTCCTCAGTCTCCTTTTCTTATGTGTTATTTATTTTTCAACTGAGCTCAAAAAAGTCTCTGGCCCTACAAAACTGATCCAGATATCACTTGCAAAGTGATGTAAGTATTGAAAGAATGACCATCATTTTGAGGAAAGGTAACAGTATAGTTACCATAGTTTGGCTTTTTATCACTGAATGTACCTATCCTTAGGAGAAGAGCCCAAAGAAATCAGTTGAAGCCACATCAGTCTATTTGTTTTCAAATTGAAGATAATTTCTGTTAACTTTAATGTAGACTAGTCCTGGTAGGGTACTAGTTGGGAAATAGTAGGATCAAAGTTAGTTTAAGTCAATAAAAATCATTATCTGTTCTATAAATTACATTTCTTTATGCTACCAACATGGCTATTTTGAAGGAGATCCTTCACATTTTTATGAAAGAGTGTGAACACAATTTTGTCTGACACATTAATAGAGGATGTAAATACACAATGACTTCTGGCGTATTTAGGTATATGAATATATTAAAACTTGACTTATTTTTAAATTAATGCAGAAATACTAATTTACTACTTATTATTTACTATGATAAGAGCTAGAAAAGTACACTCAGTATGAGTTAAAGGGTTTATTTTTTTTTATTCTTTAGGCTTCAATTATAGATGAGTTTTTAATCCATCTAAATATTTTCTAAGTCTTTTATCTGCTTTTTTAAACATCAAGACACCTTCATAAATTTGTTGACAAGGGTTGTATTCACTTTTTCAGAAGGGTGCTATGACATTTTTATGCAAATTGGTCTGGGATGGTCAGAATTTGAAAAAAGAATGCTGTTAGAGGGCTCTATATATACAATCTTCAGACAGCTTCATATTGGCAATTAGAAGATCCAAGTATCTATTTAAAAATGTTTAATAGGATATTCAATGGGGTATTAATATTATTGCTTCTTCAATTCAACTCCCCCTCATATTTATATGCAATAAGTAGCTTGCACAAGTGCTTCAGTCTGAGAAAAACAACCAGAGCTTTAAATCTTCTTTTATATTAAATTAATTTAGATTAAAAAAATATGAGGGAAAAAATCAAAAGAAATTTGTGTATTCTAATTGTTATTCTAAATTATAGCTCTATTTGTGACAAATTTTATGTGCATTCCTTATGCAGAAATTAAAATGCCTGTCTTTAGCATGCATTCTCATAATGAATGCATAAATTTTATTACCTCATTACCAATGTGAAGCAGAGATAATACACAAAAATTCCCTGATATTCTTATTCTTTTGCTAAAACTTTTTCCAAGTTCAGGGATAGTTTTGGTATTTTTCTTTTAATTTTTACTTTGTTTTTATTCTATCTTCTACAAAATTGACTACACTTTAGAACCCTTTTTTATTTCTAGGGAATCACTGCATATCAGACCACCTTTGGATGATGTTAATAATGTCAGTGTTTTGCAGCTATTGACCAATAGATGGGACCAGTGGTGGGACCACTCCGTAGGTATTGCTCATTTGCTCTGTGCAGAAGCAATAAATTTTCATCCAGATTTGTAACGCATCATAATATCATTTTACCTTGTGTGCATAGTAATTTTTTTTTCTCTTTAGTAATTACACACATCTATTCATAGCAAGACTCTTCAACATTCTTAAGATAGCTGTGAGTAAGGGCGTAACAGTGAAGTCATCAGAAGTGTCAAGGAATTAGAAACAAATTCTTTGCGATCAGATATTTAAAATTTTACTGTTCTACTTCATGTGTCTTGATCAATTGTGTTGCAGTTCTGAAGTGCTGCTGAATGGAATTATTTCCATAGGCTAACCAGTTGTAGGAATGCAGCTTCTCTATTAGGTGTTATTTTTTAAAAAATAAAGGCAGTAAATTGTATCAAGATAATATTTATTCAGATTTTGCATTTTAGATGAATTGCTTACAATTATGACTACAAGAAATCACTTTTTTTAAGAAGCATCAAATTTCAGTGAAGACTTGAAAAAAGTTTATTAAAAAAGGTACTATACTTCATATTGCTATAATAGACCTCTGTGTCATTGCTTATCATTAATCTTTCCAAGTCTTAGGTACTTGCCAGGTAGTATCCTGAGCTAATCACTCCTTTTACAGTCCACCAAGAGAAATATGAGGTGTTAAAGCAGTTTTCACCTGCCCTGTTTTAGTCATGTACTTCAGAATGAGATGAATCACTCTCTGAATGGCTATTTCTTGTTTTCAGCTACAAAAAGAGCACCTTCATTTGACTTACTGATACACTGTTGATATTTATATTTGTTGGTATGAATTCAGTGCATCTGCTCCCCAACCACAGTAGTTGAAGCATCAAAATCATCAGGTTTCAGGTGATGAAATGCTCTTTGGTTTGATCAGTTCTCTCTGTTACTGTCAACTCCTGGTAATGACATAGTATGTAAACTCACCTCTTACGTCTATCCCTGAATATCAATCAATGAAGAATGCTACAAAAAGTATTTTCCCTTAGCAGAACATCTTTTAGTCTCCAGATGATTTCTAAAGGCAATGTTAAGGTTTTGATTTTGACCTATACCTTAAAAGATAAATTCTGCATTGTATCATCTTCCATACTTTTCATAAAGGTGAAGTTGTTTTCAGAAAAGAAAACAGGACACAATATATTCACTTTGCAGAGGTTTCTCCTGATCAAACTTTTTTTATTTTCTATTATTTGCTGTGGACCACATTCATCAGTTGCAGGTGAGGAAGAGAGGTACTCTATGGCTGATTGTGTTCATTTAGAATCATAGAACGGTATGAGTTGAAAGGGATCATTTAGTTCCAGCCCCCTTGCCATGGGCAGGGACACCTTTCACTAGACCAAGTTATTCAGAGCCCCATCTAGCCTGCACTTGAACACTGCCAGGGATGGGGCAACCTATTCCAGTGCCTCACGAACCTCATAAAAGAATTTCTTCCTATTCTCTGATCTAAACCCACTCTCCTTCAGTTTGAAGTGTTTTTCCTGTCACTCCAAGCTCAGAAAAGCATTCACTTGACTCAGATATATAACTTTCAACGATGATTAAATGGTCAATTACATTGCCAGCTATGTTATTAGTTGGTAGTCTCCTCACTACCAAGCATGACTTCAAAATTA